TACTTTGGACTGAGTAGGCAATTGGGAAGTAAAGTCCCCTTTCGTCGTACAAAAATCACACTCTATAACTCATTTATCATGCCATGTTGCGCAGAAGCATGGAATTTGAAAACATCTGATGCGGCGGCTTTTGATGTTTTCCAGAGACATCGTGCATCGAATTAGAATCCAACGGCTATGCTGGCTAGGTCATGCCTTTCGAATGGACATAAGCGCTACGCCTCTGAAAGTGCTCAGCGCCGGTCGCGATGCTAGTAACAGAGGAAGGTCTCCTCTGCGTTGGAAGGACCAGGTGGAGGAGGACTTGTCTTCACTTGGCATTTCCAATTGACCGATAAAATTGCGTTAATACGTTGGGTATATCCCCAATTCAATCTGATACGCATACATAAAAAACTCTCTTATATTTTATTACTACCAGATGCATTATTTACATATCGTCGTTTAAAGTACAAAACCGCATATCGTCATTCTGCAAAACCGCGTAACTGACATTGGCTGCCAAAAATTGGATTTGCTCGCACAAGGTCTTGGCTCAATCCTCATCCATTCGTCCTGAAATATACAAGCCAGAAATGCGATTGCATTACAAAAAAGAGAACCATTTAGAAATATGAGTGTTTTTACGCTCTAGGAAATAATTTCTACAACTTCACATATGCGGTTTTACATTTTGCTGATACGCGGTTTTGCATTTTGTTGATATGCGGTTTTGCACTTTAAACGACGCTATGTATGTAGCTCAAAACCGTTTTCTTCGTCTAAAAGCCAAGTTCGGGAGTATTTCACAATTATTGTGGAAACAAGTTGGGAATATTTTTGGACCATCCGAGATTAGTTCACGACTAATTCAGAAGCATATCGGGTCTAGTTCGGGTTCATTCAGATCTAGTTCAGGACGATTTTGGGTAGGGTTAAAGGCTATTTCGGGATAGTTTACGACCAGGATCGTTTCGAGACTTGTTCTAAATATTTTCAAAAGAAGTTTCGACTTTTTTAGAACTACTTCAGGACAAAATCGGGACTATGTCGGGGTAGTTCGAAACTGAAATTAATGTTGAAGTCGCCGAATGCTTTGCCAAGTCGTCAGCACTCCTAAATAAATGTATGTGAATATCCGGTATACCCTCGCAAAATATTTGGCGGATTTCGGTTATTCTTCTATATGTTATTTTCTACCGTTAATTTTTAGCTGCTCCTCTATTATCAATGCCAGTTAAGCAGCTTAACTTTCTTTCAAAGCTCTAATATTTTTCTCGAACAAGTTCCCCAACACAGATTATAGCAATATCATCTAATTGAAATAAATACTTTCGCCCTAGCAATAGACTCACCTTTTCGAACGCTCAATGCATTTGATGGAGTCAAAGAGTGGATGCTGCACTACGCGCCTTCCAAAATCAAGGCAGTAGTTCGTGTAATCGATGGAACTACGATTACGATGCGGTAAATTGAACACAATTATGCAGTACCTGGATGCACAAATGCATCCCCGAATAATACAGTTATGTGATAGCAGCGGCAGGCACACATCCAAATGCAGTCCGGCAAATTGCAGCAATACAATCAGCATATTGAGAGCAACATTATGACAGCAACAAGCCACAGAAACCGCCATCAAAATTAATGCAGCGGACAAACACCAATGAATAAGAGGATGAAAAGATGCGCATTGAATTCGATGCCGTAGAACGCGGTGCAGGATTTGCGGTTCACATTCATTTGTGTTGTTGTTAATGTAGCAAATGAAATGAAAGAGAAAACCAAAAGCAGATAGTTACATACAATGCGCATACATATAGTATATGTAGATAAATACATAGTTTGCATAATAAAAGCGAGGTGAGTGAAAAGCCGGCAGTGTTCTACAAAGGGGAGCCTCATTGCAGAACAATTAATGTTGGCCGGCTAAGGTTAATTAAACAAAGGCACTATATCAGCACAGTTGCATTTTCAACACCAGCAAGGCAAGCCCTGCCGAATACCAAGATATGACTGGCTGTAAGTTATGCTTTCCTATGTCATATCGTCACCTGAAATGCAAAATAACTTAACAACATCGCCGCTGAAATGAAAAAAAGTCGTGACTATAAATTTTTCATAAAACGATGTGGGGAGTTGTAATTTGACGAAATCCATCATAGCAATCAAAAAGTGAATTTAGAATTTTTTATAAGTGACGACTTTTTGCATTTCAGTGGCGATGTTGTTACGTTATTTTGCATTTCAGGTGACGATATGTATGCATATGTATTAGACTGCATCACAAAAAAAAGTATTATATTTTTAGACTTCTACCAAAATAATTCGGAAAAATATTAAGATTTACGTAAGCTGGATCGATTTGAAAACACCTCCAAAAATGGAATTTTTTTTATGAATAAAAATTGTTTCTTAAAGGATTTTTTTGAAAAACTCCCCTCAAATGACAAAAACTGATACCTCGTACGTCTACATAAGTTTAGTTTTATTATTATTCCACTGAACATTTTTTTAATATTTTGATGCAGATTTTTTAAGCTCTAGCTGCTTTGTTATCTGATGAGATCTTTTGCATAAAATCCTTTAAGAACCTATATTTATTCATTAAAAAACTCCATATTTGGGGGTATATTCAAATTGATCCAGCTCACGTAAATCTTAATATTTTTCCGAAATATTTTGGTGCAAGTCTTAAAATACATATAAACCATTTTATAATTCCAGAGGAAAAATAGTACTGAGTTTTTTTGTGGGTAGTGATGCAGTCTAATGTATATTCATATACAACTTACATACATATGTAAAGTACATATGTATTTATGTATGCATGTAGGTGTACTCGCCTCTCTGTTCGATTGTCTGGCGAACTGTACCATGCAATGGTGGCCAAGGAGCACCGGTTTTGTACTTCGAAGACTGTTATATTCTCCGGTAGTTCTGGTAGGTGTTGGAAGATGCCGGTTGTAGTCACGGCCATCTGCAAGTATTCGAGAAAAGCATTACTTTAACATGAATGTTGCACACACATACATACATACACATGTACTTAAGTTCAGACTCAGTTTTTGCACTAATGGGGTGAGCTCAAGCTCAAGCTGAAAATCGAGTCGGAACTTAAGCTCTGTTTTTATGCATGAGGCCCATTGCCATGATGAGTACTTACTCCCACTTTGTTGGCACGTATCGTCTCGTCTTCACTGCTGGGAGTGAATCGCACTATGTACCGCTGTCCTTCCTGGACTTCAGAAAGCCGAATGTAGGTGGGCCGATATATGCCTGAAACGTTGCCGATAACTCGGCGTTGCCGGAGTATTTTTGCATCGATTTCGCTGCCGCCACATGGTACAATGAGATACCTCAGCTGTAGTGCTCTTGATGGTAAAGCTGAGGTGCGAAAATGTTTGTAGAAAGCAGGAATGCCTCCAAATGGAATCTGAGTACATAGATATATGAAGAAGTGTACTTATAAAATGATCTATGTATGTATCTTCAGAATTTCTAAAGAAGCGTGTAAGCTTAGTTAATCTAAAATGTGCTGATATTATTTTGCAACCTGTTTTCATTGTACATCATTAGGGTTCGAACGATACTATCGATATTGAGTAAGTATCGATACTGAGGGTATAAAAATGAGTACTTTAATACTCGATACCTTATTTGGTGATTTTACTCGAAACTTTGCAAAGTACTCGTAGTATCGAATACTTTTTAAAACGCACACTTTTTAAATTTTTTCTTCCATTGCTTTCTTTGCTTATATAATCCATATCATTCAATTTTGTCTATCACTTAAAATAAACTGAAATTGCGTGTATTCTGTTGCATAACATAAACCAAATAAGTGAAAGTTTAGTGGCCTTATTCATAAAAAATAAAGTAGGTTTAAAGAGCTTAATAAAATGACATTTTCATAAATTTTTCAGTTATAAACCTTTTTTATTTTTGATGAATAAGGCCATAAAACTTTACGCAAAGTTCACGAAAATGCTGATTTTTTAGAAACTTTTTGGGAATGCAGTTTTGTAACCTATTCAAATTTACGTATAGCCTACTACCGTTGACTTTTAATTCAAACTTGCACATTATTATACTAAAATTGAATAGGCTACAAAAATGCATACTAAAACTTTACAAAAATTTCTTAATAAAACTTGAAATTCGTGAAAGTACATTTAACGTTAAAATTGCTTCTAACGTGAAAGTAAGTTCTGCAATGAAATAAAAATCAAATATTTTAAATTTCTATTGTTTTAATTTCAGGAAATAACTAGATATACGATTGAAGAATAAAATAATTTTAGTATCCCAAAAAACGTATTTTAATGAGTCCGATACTGAGTAGTATCGATATTTTTTCCCTGATACTTTTAGAGTATCGATACCATGAGCTCGATGCCAGAACGAGTACTCAGTATCGATACCAAAGTCTGAAATTTCGAACCCTATAAATCATTTAAGACCCCTACAACAACAACATTTCTTATTAGGATTTTTATACGAATCGTAGAAATGGTATGCTGCAACCCGAATAGTATCTTCGAACTTTCGAAATTCGTAACAATGGCATACCTATAAGCGAACGAGTAATTTACAGCTTTTTTGCGTAATTTTGTACGAAAATATTTCTGTGTCGGAAGCGGGATAAAAATTAAGCAAAAGATGTAAATCGATGTGTGTTTACAGGAAATATTACTGGTGTTCATTTAAACAATAGAATATCGAGAAACTTAGGTACGGTTTAGTAATTACATAGTACAATTATTTTGGTTTTTTTAGCCAAATGCATTACCCGAATCTAAAAACTTTAACATGCACGTGTAGTCAAAGGATTCAACTTTAATTTAAAACAAAGGTTCCAAATTTGCAGGCTCTAGTTTATTAATTAATTCGGTTTTAGCCATGCACTTTGTTTGTAAATTTCGATGAATGTTCTGCGCAAACATACAGTGGATGGAGTTGCCGGAGTTATATGCACAATAAATGTTGTATACCTTTCACAGTAGAAGAGGGGCTTCCGCCCTCTTCTTCGGCAACACAGAAGAGATATTTCTCATTAGTAAGCGCGGCCGAAGGCATTAACTGGATTGAAAACTAGTTATTAAGGCATAGGAGGAGTTATAGCTTGCGGCTCAACAATTCAACCAGAAGATGACATAGATGCAGCTTTCCGCAAGGGTTTCAGCATGTCGATTTTTCGTTTTTCGTAACGTATTACGAATTACGAAAATTCCGGTTCTAGAATAAGGGTGCAAATATCGTTACTTCCAATTAGAGCCTTCGATTTCCCGAGATTGCAAGCAATTTCTCGCGAGGATCGCTTTCTCACGAGATTTTCGTGTATCGAAAAACTCGTTATACCCGCGAGCTCCTCGATGATCAATTTAAGGCAGCGTATTTAATTTAGGGTATTTAAACCCTGAACTATTGAATTTTTTTCAAGCGTAATACTTGTCGCTCTCCAGATTATCACCAGAGTGTCCGGATTTGGCGATTTCGCGCCAATTTGGCGATTTTTGTTTGATATTTGCGCGTAAAAATTTAGGAAATCCCCATTGGCGATTTTTGGCCATTTTTTCCCTTCAAATAAATTTTACGGAGTGAAAACCGCAAAGGCAATAAAATATTTGGAAATGTAAGTAAATTCATATTATTATCCTTGCCGCACTCACATGCTTTGTTGAGCGCGTTTTTTGCGTAATGAATTCAAAAAAAACTAAGATTCGAAATAGGATGATGTTAATTCAATAGTTCGAATAAAGTGTTATATGAAGGCTAATAGTTTCTGCTGCAAAACGTTTCCAATATCAAACAGTATGTTATCAAGGTTGAATAGCTCAATATATGACAACAACGGAAATGTAAATCATTCAGACACTTACAGGCCTATTCTGCGTTGGTAACAAAAATTTTGTTACCGGTTAGTAAAGTTACTGTCAATTTTTAAACCCTTTTCGTATTCTCCACACTCTTGTAACCGGTAAATTTTGTTACCATCTCATGAGCAGGCAACAAAATATTGCCCCGTGAAATATGCAACACCAGAATTTCAACAAAACTCCATAGCATAAAGAAAACCACACAATTAGAGGCGGGCCCCAATAAAAGTGTTGAAAAATGAGTTTTCAAAATAAAAAAAAGGAAGTGTGTATTAACAAAAATATTAAAGTACTCTATTATCGTTAATTTAAAAAAGAAACACATAATTCGACTTCAAACTTAAAAAAAAAATTAAAACTTACTTCCGCGAAAAAATGTTACGTTAGAAGGCGTATGGGGTCAGCACTCAAGCGAGTAGCGACACATGTGTACACGTACATTTATGTTCTAACCGTAACTAAATAAATAAAACGAAATGTATTTTGTCATAAATATTAAAGCTTTTTATTATAGTTAACTTTAAGAAAGAAAAGCATAACTTTGACTTCAAACTTAGATACAAAAACAAAAACTAAAAAATGTTACATAAGTGGTCGCATAGGGTCAGAGCTCAAAAGAGTAGCGACAAATGTGTACACGCCGATGTTCTGGCCGTGACTTATTTACGTAGCCCGCGGGGAGTTAGGAGGAAGCTATACAGAGCGCGAGCACACTCCAAGCACTCCAAGACATTTTTTTCAACTTGAAATGACGTTGACCCCAGTCGCCTAATTAAGGGTTAAAGGTATTATATTCGTTTTTGGTTTTAAAAACTTTTTTATAACAAAATCTCATTTTTAAAATAAAAGATTTGTTAAACCGATTTCATTAATTTTATTTAAAAAAAAAATTTTTTCGATTTTTGGCGATTTTTTTTTTTCAGAAATTGCGTTTTTTTATAAACAATCTGGACACTCTGGTATCAACCATCTGCACGCTCCTTTCTAGCGAGGTCCGCACTTTCCTCTCCATTTATTACTTTTACTCTCTTTGCTGGAGCCATCAAACGCAAATAATACACATACATACATACACAGCATATATGTAAGTACATCGAACTAAATTCTTCTTATTCGCATAAACGTTTTTTTTTACAATATAATATCTAACATTTACACAGACAATTTTTTCAGATTTTGTTTTTATTACGTTCGATATGCTTTTGCATACGTATGTCTCGATAACTACTCGACATTACCCGAGAGAATGGCGATACCCGAGATTACTCGAATCCCCGGGTATCGAAATGCTCAAGAACGTGCAAAAGGCCACATTTGAAAAATTTTAAGTTTTACAAGAGAAGCAAACATATTTTTACAAAGCCTTTATCAACTTGCAATGTTGTATGTCCAGACCACCATTTTATACTATAAATATAGCAAAGGTATTTATGGAAAACCTAGTTTAGATATCAACCTCGTTGTAGGCTTCGTATCAAGGAGATACAATTAGAAGACTCTAGATGTCGCCCCGCCAGAAGAAGTTAAATATTGCGCCTAAATGTGTGCACTATTTATATACGTCACAGCGGAAATGGACGACACGCCATTCCCTTAAATGAAATAAACTGCTGATATATGTATGTATATACATACATATGTATGTTTATACTAAATGTGAGCAAACAAAATTGTGCTTGCATAGTCTTCTATTCTCTTTCACTGCAAGTTGAATTATTTTATTATCTATTGCAAAATTTTGTACAGACAATTTAGTCTTGTCGAAGTAGAAAAATAAATAAAATAAAAAAAAACTTTTAAGTAAGCTGTTGATCGAATTTAATATTAATTATTGTTGTTGTTGTAGGCTAGTCGATCGATTGCATTTGTGTGCAAGAAAAATTACTTTTTTCTTCACGTTTTGCCCAACGTTTCGCTAATCACCTTAGCATCTTCAGGGGCGAATCTTTATTTAAATAACAACAGGAAACAACAATGTTATCGAAAAATAATAATGTACACACATACATACATACATGAATACAAAGTTAAATGTTGGATAAACAAATGAAAATACGAACACAAAGAGACTATCACAGGTTTTAATTTGTCTTAAGGCACTTACGTATGGTTTACATTTAATTGACACTGAATATTTAGAAAACCATTTGAAATATTTAAAACATTGAAAATTGACACTAAAACATTAAACATTAAAAGCATTGATACCACCAATATGTGGTACTCTCGTCATACTAAACTTTAACTACAAGCATAGCATCAGTGTCCTCCTTCTTGTTAATTGTTTTTTCCCTTTTCTGTAGAATTCGCAGGCTTTCTTTGGTGTATCTTGTCTTTTCCCTCCGTTCTTTGTCTAATATTTTGACGTTGGCTAGATCAGCTGTGTGACCACTATTTAGTATGTGATGCGCTAAAGCTGTGCTTTGCTTGTTTTTCTTGATATCTGTTTCGTGTTCTGACAGACGAACGCCCAATGCTCTCTTGGTCGTTCCAATATACACTTTGTTGCAGTTTTCGTTTTTTCTCCCTTTGCATGTAACTTCGTATACCACGTTGC